CACATTGCCTACTCCAGTTAAACACAATATGCTCAATAAACATTCAACAATTTGGGAGTCGCTCTGCAGCTAACCAAAGCAAGTTTGATGGGATTATTATGTGAAAATAATTCTTGGGTTTGAAAAGAGGACTTTAAACACATGATAACATACTTCAGTGGGAATTGCTATGGTTGAGACGCTCTCCCCCAACTTGGGGTTGATGCCCGTGTGATGGTAGGTGATAAGACGACATTCATCTCGAGCCTCCCTGTCTGGAGGTTTCCAGGAGAGGAGAACTGGACTTGCCTGTATGTGATGTGGACAGAAATGTGAGTGTACTGCAAATTAATAGGCAGAATGAATAAATACACAATTCCTACTAAGAAGTAAAGGCAGAGGGAAATATTGGACAAATCTTTTCCACATAACTAAAATATTTACCATCTTATGATTTTGAAAGCACTCAAAGTATTTCAACTCAAGTGGCACTTGCTTTGAAACTAACATGTGTGACCACCAGGGATACTTAGTGAAGGTGTCCACGTGACATTTTACCTGGTTAAGGAGGCTGACATTTTACTCCAATCATATAAAATTCAGTTTTTTTTTTTCAAATCAAAACTCATTTGAGTTTTGCTTCTGTTTTGAACAAAGACATGGTCTCCCACCCCCCAACAATTTGCTTATAATTGTCATGACAGTGTGACATTCTCCAGTGTGTCACACAAATACATGACATAGGAATATGAATGCAAATATATGAACAAAAAAGCCCTCAGGTAGTTGTTAATTTTTGGTGCTGTGTGATTAAACTAGTTTTTTTAATGTTATCTTTTGCCAGTATCTAATTAGCAGAGCCATCTGCTGAAAGAGCAGTGGCCCATCTGCCTAGAATGTTGTTCTCTTCATTTTTATGAAAAGTATCTCCCATCACTAGTCCCTATCTAATTAACTTCTCTTGCTGTGGAATGTGATATTACACAGTTTTGTTTATGTACTTCTGGGAACTGTGGATTTATGTTTGTGTACCATGTACATAAAATTATCCAAACTCTTTTTCTTTGCAGCCACTGAATTACTCCTGAGATCATAGCCCCGTTTATCCTAACTAGAACGTGTCCATGGGCAGAATGGTGGGGTGTGGCTTGTCTAATGACACATGCAATAGGTATTTCCTCACATCTCCGGGACTTCTGAAGGCATAAAGCCCTTTTCTGTGAGCTTCCTCTCCCTGGCTGTATAGCAAGGATTGTAGAGCTGTCACTTCTGGAAAGTTGGGGTGCTCCAAGTCCAAGTGTATGGCTGCATGGGAAATAAAGGAACATGTGACTACTGTGACAAAGAAAACGAGTATCATTGTCTTCGTAGCATTCACATGATGCTGGCTAGGCTCATTTGATACTCTCATATATTTTATTACAAATTGATATCTGATTTGCACACTTGTCTATGTCTGCTTTTCCTTCTATCATTACATAGGAGAATATCTTGTACTTGAAAGATCTTGTACTTGGGCATTAGATGAAAGAGATTAGAAATGAGTGGGAATAAATCAACTCTTCCATAAGTGGTGCATAGCACAGAAGGCTTTGGCATGTATCTGCAGAAAGAAAAGGCCACAGTCAGAAATCTTTGTGTCATTTTAACTATAGTTTTTTCAGGCTTCTTACCTACTATATTTAGTCTTTGAATACCCTGGCACACACTGTTCCTGCCCTGTATCTGCTGCTGAGATGTATAATGAACAGTAAATGTTGAACTGAATAGAGAATAAATAGCTCTTTTCTGTCCTGGACTATCATGCAGCAGAAAAGAGACAAAAGATGACAAACATTAAAGATGTTTTTAGAAAAGAAGACATAGGAATTAAGACTGTGAGAGTTGAGCTGAAATCTAAACTGCGGAATACCTTAGTACTTGTGCTGAGAGTTGCATAGGTAGGTGTGGGTGGTAGGAATGTGTCAAAATAAATTGGAAGACAAACAAAAAAATGACTGCTCAAACCAATAACTAGGATTTGTTCCCAAATAATGCTATGTGAAAGAAAAACTGTCTTCATTGACAACAGAACAGGACGGCTTGGTGAAAAGGTATTTAATTGATTAGCATAGGTCTAGTGGAATAAAGAAATTTATGAACAGATTTACAAAAACAGTAAAATTCAAACCCAAGAGTGGATAGCAAGATAGAAGAAGGTCCGGGTGATATCTGTGTTTGTCTTCTGGGGAGCACTTGTTCCCCATAGCTGCCAATCGGCACAATGGCCAAGGCTGGTTCTCGAGGTAAGAAGTAAAGACACTGGAACTCTTAATTCTAGTGGAACCTGGAAAATTCACTTTCTCTCACTTAGATCCATTTACTGTTTTATATGCTCTGTGTTCACCCTACTATTATCTACTATCGGTATAAAATTTTTCTTCATTCTTTTATTCCAGTAGAATGTGAATCCACAGAAAAACTTGTACAGTCATGATCTTTAATTAACTCTGGATTTGAATGTTATTGGCATGCTGGTGATACTATAATAAAAACGTCTCAGAAAAGTAACTTTTCACTTTTAATAACTGTCTTTGGAGAAACCTATTTTGGGTTTGTCTAATAAATTTGGATGAGCTGTTACTATTTTTCAGTAAACTGGGTAAAACAATGGAATATTTATGAAAACCCTCACATTCTTTTTTCAATTATTTTTCCCTTCCAGTCTTTTACCAACATTTATCTTGAGAGCAGCCTATACGTGTGTAGGTAGACTTGTGAAGCTATCTGCAGCTGCACCTAAACAAATTTGTTGGCAGGTGATGTTCTCCTTAATCCTGGGACTGAACCTGCCCCTCCTAGCTCTTGTGTTTACTGGACAGACTCTTAATATTTAACTTTTAACAAAGCTCTACACTGTGGAAAACCATTGGAAATGCCTCTTGGTTTTTTTGTTTTGTTTTGTTTTGGTTTTTTTTTTTTTTTTTTGGTTTTTCTCCGGTACCGGGAACCAAACTCACGACCTTGCGCTTGCCAGGCTGGCACTTTGCCGCTGAGCTAAATCCCCAGCCCCGGAAATGCCTCTTTAGCTGAAGTATTTCACTGTGTAGTTTTCCTAGTAATTATAGCACATTAACTCCTCTTTGTGATCTGTAACACCGAATCCTCTGGAATACAAAATTAAAGTTACAGGGCTGAGGGTTCAGCTCAGTGGCACAGTATCTGCCTGGGAGGCATGAGGCCCTGAGTTCGATTTCCAGTACAAAAAAAAAATACAACAAAACTTAAAGTTACAATGAGGTCTACTCTTTTAAGATAATATATCATAGAATATATCAGTGCTACTTCAAGTAAAGGCAAGGCAGTGAATGTCTTTATTTAAACCAAAACAACAGAGTTTGCTTTTATGAAAAGATTTAAGGAAGCAGGGTATTAGTGATCCACTCACATCAATGCAATGCATGTATTTTCATTTATTTATCAGCACTTCATGGGATTTAGAGACCCTACTGAATATGAAGCTTTCACCTCTTTGGAGTATCATCACTTCTCATTAAAGTATTTGCCGTGCTGGATGGAATTCAGATACTGACCATGCTACTGCTCTATTGCCATCAAGAATTATGCACAGGAAAATAGAACAGAATGAACAAATTATCTTATCAGATAAAAACCTTCCAGTCTGCACAAGGGAAAATAGTTACAAGATTGTTTCTCTTTATAAGACATGAAGTTGTTCTTTCTGGGATACTTTTCTTAAGGACCTGTGTTTTCTAAGTAAGGTAATTCAGCCAAGTATGCAGTGTGCTACAGCTTCATCTGTTATGTAAAATTCTTTAGACGACTGAAGATTTTAGGTATGTTTTTTAGACTGTCTTTATTATTCTCCCAAATTTAAGAGAATTAGAAAAAAAATCATACTAATAACAAGGGTTAAAACCAATATTTCCTTCATATTATTTGATATTAACCTACTCTTGTTTTAGTTTTAATTGAAGTTATTCCAAATTAATATAAATTATCTCCAGCTTAAACATTTTTCTATCATGACATAACTGGTAAACATCTCAGATTCTTCAGAAATGCAATTTTAGTGGTAAGATAAAAAATAATTGCAATAGCACGTGAAGAAATGTAAAAATACTTTACCTTGTACAATTACAGAAAAGAAAAACAAGTCAGATGTCTACATTTATTCAGAAAGATTCACAATCTCCATATGTTACTGTGCTCAGACAACATTTTTCTCCGTGGCGGGAGTGCTCTCTGTTATCTTGACTGATCATAGAGTCTGTTTGTGATTTCTGATGTGCAAATACATGTATCAAATTGGCCAGCATGAGTTAGATTTAGAAAGTTGGAGAAAAAGTAGTTGAAAGTTGTGGCTCTAAGTATTTAGTCAGAGCTGAGAACAGCATGAAGATTGAGGGGACATGATAGATGTATTCTTTACCTGTGCCATTTATTTACTGACTATCATGGGTACGTGCACCTGGGTGGTAGGAATATGCAGAGTCACTCTCACTTTGTTGTCTCTGAATACTGATGAACAGCACACTATTATTGTAAAGTCCACTGGTTTAAATGGACATTTAGATCATTTTATGTCAAGGCCCCTGCTTTCCACCTCCACTGGGGGCCTGGGGATGTGGCTCAGTGGTAGAGTCCTTGCCTTCCATGCACAAGGTCCTGGTTCGATCCCCAGCACCATCAAAAGCAAACGAGTGCCATATCCCCACTGGGTCTGCCCTTTTGGTTTCACATCGGAGTGACCTGCCTACTGACAGGGACTATATCTGAATGTCCTGTTACTATTATTACTAAAGACAAGTACTCAGGGGTGACTCTCCCAAATGTCTTGGCTTTAAACCCAAATGTGAGCCCCTGACATTTCATGTATCCGGTGTGAATTCTGCATGGGTATGGGAGCGTGGGTGCCAGGGTGCGCCTCATTTCCCAAGCTGCTAACAGTGTGTTCTGTTGCTCTCCCCTTCTGTTGCGTCGAAGCCTTAATGGTCGATGTTCTTTGGTGTTTTGTGCAGGCTGTGGAGTGGGAGTGTGACGAGGCGACCAAGAAGGCCTGTTACAGCAAGGGCAAGTCAAAGGTAAGTAGGTTGCAGGGCTGCAGGGTCGCCGCCACGCTGTGTCCAAGGACTGTATGAAACCTTTGCATTCCTGGCCGTATGAAGCCTTGCAGGGAGGAAACAGCCTTGTCGAAAATATGCACACAAAATTCCTATCATTTTGTTTAGTGAAGCTCTGTGTCTTTTCTAATGTTTATTATTTTTTATTCTCTTTAACGGATTTATCAATCTTGCCTGCTTACATCTGGTAATCTGAGTAACCTCGTTGAAGACGATATGTAAATAACAACCACTGTTAATTCCTATCATTCTGTTTTGAAAGCCTGTATATTTTTATTGTTTTTTCTTTGTTTTGTTTTTGTCTATGTTGTTGGTATTTTGTTATTTTTTTATTCTCTTTAAAATTAAAAAAATATGCACACAGCAAACGCTCGAGTGTTTAACAGTAAGTGAAAATTAATCAACAATCAGCCATGGTCAAAGAGGATCAGAATGTATGATCAAATCTAACTTGTGCTTTCAGTCATCAGATTCAGATCTGATATTAACTGACTATGATCTTATTTCAAAAATATGGGCATGGCTTTTTAAAATAATATTTTAGTTCTGTCCTTTCATACTTCACTGCTGACTGCAAGAAGTAACTATATGATAAAAATTACTATATGAAAATAACTTGACATGTAGCCTTTACAAGTTATCTTAATGTGTCCTTTTAGTTAGCTCAATTTCCTTTTTGATGCTCAAATCTACATTCCAAGTTCCGGTAGCAAAGGGCCCTGCAACAGGGTCTGGGGATGCATTTAAGGCATCAGGCACCCACTGGTCCCATTTTCACACAGCAGATGATTCAGTCAAATGTCCTTCTTTCCCCATCCAGGAAGTCTACCTCACAGGATTAAGAAATATCGTGCATGGTTAAGTTTACAATAATGTATTACAGTAAAGACACACTGCTGGTAGCCGACCTCAGAAGCCTGCTCCTTACTTTGAACAATTGTTCTTACCACTTTCTGAAGCACTTCTGGAAGTCCTCTTTCAGGAGTGTCTTTAGATGGCATGTCACAGCTGCCTTGATATACTGAATCAATTAGAAATGTTTATCTTTCACAGTCATTTTGACTTTGAGGAAAAGCCATGTCTTTAGTTACTTTTCTGTCATTGCTGAGACAAAATACTTGACACTCAAAGTTAAAGGTGGAAAGGTTTATTTAGCTCACAGTCTGTAGAGGTTTCAGTCCAGAATGGGCTGGCTCCAAGGCAAAGTGGCATGGGAGAGGGGCATCAAAGAGTAGAACCATCTCACAGTAAGAAGACAGCAAAAGCAAGCAAGCAAGCAAGGGGCCTTGACAGGGTCTTTCTGCCCCCTTTATCTTATCCAGGCTACTCTGGGTGGGTAACACTCACACCTTAACCCTAGTGCCTTTGAGCCTAGCACTGCACTATGAATCAGTCCCAGCATCACACACTGTAGATCCAGCCACCTCTGACAAAGCCCCACCTATGACCACATGAGGCTTTGGGGGGCATCTAGACACAAGGCATAACAAGCCAGATGTTGCACAGTGGCAGTTTTGGTGAATAAGGAGGATGAGGGCACCATAATGTTTTTTTTTTGACAGAAATTACTATACATGTGAGCTATAAACTGTTCCAGGTAGTGGCAAGCACACTGGGATGAGTGCGTAGAAAGTGAGGGGGAGTGTTTTGAAGGAGATTAATGGCGATGCGTCTTTTATTGCAGCAAATCTTTTTAAAATTTAAACATTGTTGTTTTTGATCAACCATGTATGTATAAAGTGATCAAAAGTGCACTGTCTGACTGACTCTTTTTCCTGCCTGGAATGTCTCATTCTCAAGGTGGAGAATATATTGACCACCCTGATCCTCACCTCCATGGCTGGGCTGTAGGGAGGAGAACGGGGGCAGGGGAGCAGATTTGTGTGGGGTGGGGATGGGGAAGGGCTGTGCTTCCTGCACCTGGCAAGATTCACTGGTGCAGCGCACTGGCCTCGTTCTCGGGCTCCAATTCCCCGCGCGGTGCCCGGCCCTGTGACACTGCCACCTTCCGGGGACCTTGGCACTGACCCATGGCCTGGCTACGCTTTCTCCTTCACTGTACTTCTCACCTCCCTTTCTCTCCTTTCCCCGCTTGTCTTCATGTGCCTTTTGCTGCTTTGTCTTCCCTTCTTCCCTCCCTCCCTCCCTCCCTCCTCCCTCCCTTCCTTTTTTCCTTGTTTCTCTCCTAGGCCTTAGGGGTGCATAATAAGCATTGCTCGATTTGGGGGCATCCTGTAGCTCCGTGTGTTGACACCATTCTCAGTGTCTATTTCTGAATGGTTTGGTCGCTTGTCCCAGACCTGAGTAGCCTGCACCCTCCCTCCCTCCCACAGGGTCTACCTGACCCCCCACCATTGCCCCTTTGCCTCATTGCCTTCCTCACCTCCCTCACCTACCTCTCAGGACACCCACATTTCATCAGCCAGATTGCAGGAGCCGTTGTCCTTGCCCTGTTGCACTGCATGTTAATTACCCAGCCCTGGACTAGGGGGCTACGAGTCATGCAGGACGATCCCTTGTTGCTCCAGTCCCACATTCCCTCTTAAACCCAAGAGGGTGTGTGATGGCTCAACAGCAAGGAATGAGGGAGCAAACACCTGGATCCCACAGCAGGACAGCGCTGATGTCAGGGTCAGGACCTTCTCTGTCCCCTGTGCCGGCCTGTGCATTGTGGGAAGTCCAGCAGCTTCCCTGGCCTCTGCCCACCCGGACATGACAACCACATACCCCCAGCACTGGCCCTGGCCTCCTAAGTCACTGACCCGGATGAGAATCCACTTGAGTTTCTGAAATGGTGCATGTACAGGCAAGTTTTGCCTTGTCCCTTTGGCTTTGTGTCCTTCCTGAATGGTTTCATGGTTCTTCTGCATCACGCATTTATTTCACAGCGTTTACAGGACTGGCAGTCAACCCCCTTCCCCTCCGGGGGCTTCTGTCTCTCTGTGCTGCTTGAGTATTAAAGGAAAACCCCTGACAACTTAATCTAGCCGGGGTGCCTGCTCCACACGCTCTGTGTGCCCCTAATTTTATATCTGTGTATTTTCCTTTTCCTAGGGTAGGTAATGTGCCTATTTTGAGAGGAAATTTGCTCCTGCTGAATCAGAACTGGCTCATGTTTGACTTTATCCAGTGATTGTTTTTTGTCTGGCTGTTAGAAATTAAACAACTGAAATCCATAGAACAGGAAAAGACCATTGTTCCTGCCTTGTGCATAGCATACCCTTGATTTCACTGAAAGGATCAATTGTTACTGCACTTAATTGAGTTTGTCCTGCTACAAAGAGAGAAAATGAGGAAAGCAAATGTTAAATAAAACCATACATTTATGATCATATGGTTTTGGTTTTAATGTTAAGAGTAATAACAAATCTTAGTAATTATATTGATTCAAACTGTTTGGGCCAATTTTTTTAAGATGAGTAGCTAAAGGCAAATGAAGATGAATGTTTAGTACCAAGTACACTGAGAAAGATAGATCGCATTTTCTTTTCTGTTGCATTAAGCATACTGATAAATGCTCCTGGAGTTTTAAGTAGCCTGTGGTCATGTGAGATCTCAGTGGATGTAGAGAACTGCATGCAGGGGCAGCTGCCCTGTACAAAATGAAGCAGGAGGGGCTGTGGATATAGCTGAGTGGCATAAGTGCCTGCCTGGCAAGTGTAAGGTCTTGAGTTCAACTCCCAGTACCAAAATAAAATTAAAGAAGAACGAGGAGGAGCAGGAGGAGGAGGAGGAGGAGGTGGAGGAGGAGGAGGAGGAGGAGGAGGAGGAAGAGCAGGAGGAGAGGGAGGAGGAGGAGAAGGAGGAGGAAGAGGAGGAAGAGGAAGAGCAGGAGGAGAAGGAGAAGAAGGAGAAGAAGGAAAAGAAGAAGATGGACTTTGCAAAACTCTTGGTCCAGAGCACTGCACTTGGACCTTCAGGGTGAGAGCAGAGGACCCTGCAGCCTCCTTTGTGAGTCCCTCCCTTATTCATCTCTTTTGCTTTCTTAAAATGGTCACAGTGGTGACTACCAGGTCAGGGCCCAAAGCCCAGCTCCACGCTCAGAGGAGAGAAGCCTCTGAAGAGGGGAAACCATACCGAACACAGTTTCTCCAGGGATGCTCCCCAAATCAGATTTTGAACACCGTAGTTCTCCTGTGCCCAAGGTTCTTAGGGGCCAAATGAGATAACATTTCACGCTCAATTTGACAGAAACAAAATTCTTCCTTAGAGGAGCAAAATTCAGGCTTTCCTAATGGCCATAAATTTAGAAGTAGAATTCAACTACTCTGTATTTTTCCTTGTGCTGTAGCATTCGAAGAACTTAGAACAGAATGACAAGGTTTCCCTTCTCTCAAAGAATAATGCAACATGTGACATCTCAAAAATGAGAAAAATCCCAGCCATTTTAACTGAACTCCTTTTTTTTCCCCTGTACTGCCAAAAAAGCAGGCTGTGCTATGCTGCATAATGCACTTTCCTGAATGCCCTGCGTGGATGGAGGTGGCTGAACCTGCACCCACTTCTCTGATGAGAACATTCCTTGACTGGCTGCAGAGGAAAAATGACAACTTTCCTCTTGTTTCTCTAGTGTCACTGGGGCTGGGCACAGGCATTACTTCAAAGGCAGCACATTAAATTTACAACTTGAGCTAGGCTCAGTAGCATGCAGGTGCTGGGTGCGATGACACACACCTATAATCCCAGCCCCTAGGGAAGCTGAGGTAGGAGGATGCCAACTTTGAGACCAGACTACACAATTTGGTGTGACCCTGTCTCAAAATAAAATTTTATAAAAGCCTGGAGATGTTCCCTTGGTTCACTGTCCCAAATGCAAAAGAAAAAGTGAAAAAAGAGGGGAAAAGTTAAGTACTAAAACTGGCAATTCACCACAAGGTTTGAGTTCTGCATTGCTGATAAAGTCATCAGCTCACTGTAGCTGCAGATAGCTTATTCTGTGTATCAAAGGGAGCAGAATCTGT